GTGTTAAATAAAGACTCCCCTTCACGACATGCGGACGACAACATATGAAGCAAGCAATGACGAGTGTGCCCAAAAGATCTGGTAAACACAGCGTAAGACCACAATCAACAACAAGTGAACACAACGAGTGAACAATGAAAGAACAAGAGACGAGGCAAGAAATCCTAACCCAATGTGATGTCGGATCTGAGAAATGCCAAACGGAACACCAAAGTCGCTCAAAACACAATACTAACAACACTTCAAGAAGCCCAAAAAATTCTGAGCCGACGGCCGTTCGTGGGAAAAAATCTAGCAAGCCATGCACCGGCGTGTGAGGATGGCTGCAGATTGTCCGCCAGCGCGTTAGGACGGTTGTAGACTGTTTGACGGCGTGTGGGACCCACGCGCGGACTTCGACGATGAAAAATGATCGGAAGGTTGTTCCTGGGGCGATGAAGCTATTGGTGTGGGAGGTGAAATCGAAATGTGAGAATAAAATAAATCCTAGTTGTTTAAGTTTTGCTCCGATGCCATGTTACAATCCTTAGGTTCTTGAATTTCACATATAAAGACGCCCATATATATAGACATAGGGCCTTTGGTATATATGAGTTGGGCTATAATATGGTTAACGTCATTAACCTGATAGAAACTGCTTAATGTATTTAGATTCCTCCTATGAAGTCACCTTATCACAAAGTCCTTTGAATAACCGGTATAGGGAGTTATGTTGGGATATGATTGGAATGACAATGCCAAAGTGGTGGATGTTGGAAGGATCTTTATCTGTACCCATAGTTTTAAATGGCGAGGCGAGGCGATTTGCCAAGGCGAGGCCTTGGCTACTCATGTCACCAAAATTTAGAGAAAAACAATATTATAGATTGTGCAATTATATATTTATGTTCAAATGATAAAAAAAACATCAAATATCTCTCATAAAGAACACAAATGAAAAACAAGTCAATAGCACAAACACCACTTAAGAAAGTAATTCAAGGTTTTTGAGGGTGAAGATTTTTTTTTTCCTTGTGTTCTCAGTTTGGTAAAACCCTAGCTTCGTGGGTCTAGGAGATGAAGGAAGAAAGAATCCGACGTGCGTTTTTTATATTCTCTTTTCCAAAATGTCTTAACACACTTTTTTGTTTTTTAAAAAAGGCGGGGCATGCACCTTTAATTCCCTTGAAAGGCGCCGAGGCGCGCAACACAGGCGCCTCTCGCCCCGCAAAAAAGGCAAGCCAAGGCGACCTGAAGCGAGTGCCTCACAAATAGGGTCGCCTCAGGCAGTGACGAGGCGATGTGACCCTCGTCTTGGTCGCCTCGCCTCGAGGCCATTTAAACTATGTCTGTACCTATTTTCAAATGTTGATAGAATCTTAGTTTCACAAATCACAATATGGGTTTAAAATTATTTTTGCTTTTTTTTTTTCTTTTAATTATGGTGTTCTAATAGACTAGTGTATTCTCTTGTTCAGGAACTTTTTACCATTTTATGTTCATTAAGTACATATTCTATACCTTGGCGAAACAAGTTGCATTCTCTTTCCTACAAATAGCATCCATACTAAAATGTTTAACTTATGTGAATAGGTTTTCTTGGTTGGGGCTGTGGCAAAACTTGGAGCAACTGTTTGTACATACCCTCTGTTGGTTGTTAAGGTGCGGACATTTATTTTCTCTTAGTTGTGGTTCTGGATGAATACTTGAATCTTATTAGCAGTTTTGCGAGCACAAGTTTAAGCCTGAATGCAACTGGTGTGATATTTGTGATTGCTGAAGGGACTGGAGTCACTTAGTGCAGAAGCATCTAATAAATGAAGCTCTTAATTTGTTACGTGTTTCATGAGGCCAAAATTATGTGATTCTTATTGTACCACACACAGTTCAACATTCCAGTTTTGCTACTTACCTTACTATTTTAAAAACTGGCTTGGACGACCATGTTATGGAGTGCTCGACACACTTGCTATGTTTGTCTAGTTGGTAGTGTATACTAAATTCTGGTGCATTAGTTGCAGGCCATTTATCTAGGCTCTATTGCCTAGGTGATATTAGGCAGGCTGCGAGTTGGATTTATGTCTCTTAGTAAATGATACATTGGGCAATGGGCATATTTTGAACAATAGAGTCGCTTGGTCCTGACATAATTGAAGGATGGGCCCCTAGCTCACCAGGAAGCGTGAGTTAATTTGCAGATAGTTCACTGTTGTGTGATTCTTTCCAATTGTAAATTAAGCTAGAATGAATTTCGTCATAATGGGATATTGACCGAGTATCCTCCAAAAGTGTGCTTTCGTTATAAATCATTATTTATTTGACGCTGAGACCAATGCACTTGATAGAAGTGATATCATTGCTCAACTGAACTGCATTAAAAAGATACAACTGAAACTGGAGTACGACGGAGGTTGTGTTTATGCTTATGCTTGTGCATTATTATTAGCTGATCAATTGAAAGTACAGTGAAAGCATAAATGAGTCTTCTGCTGTTGTTTACTTTAGAATTGTAGATATAACCGTCATTTGTTATCTTGTGATGATATTATTTCTGATGTTATGATGTACTTGACTCGTTAGATATTTTTCTGTCACTGATTAGATTAAAAACTTTGGATATTATGCAGTCAAGACTACAAGCAAAGCAGGAAATTGGTGGAAATATGTCGCTAAGATATTCAGGTGTGCCCCATTACATCATCATTGGTACTATATTATTTAAATTCATAGGTGATATGACAAATACATCCATACAGTTTACAATATTGGAAGCATTTCATGTTAAAACCTTTTATAACCCTGATATGCGGGTGATATGAGGGTTACTGGAGCCTGCTATCCTGTGAGACGTTTTTACTTGCTTATTGTAGATAGCATAATGTGAAAGCCAAGGGAAATAAGTATGCTTCTTGTTACAAGCCTACGGTTTCCGAGTTGATGAATTTCTTTTATATGAATGACTATATATATAGAGTGCTTCATGGGCTTGTCATATATAGGGCTTGATATACTGAACCACCTCATTTAAACTCAAGCTGAGGTAGAGGTGGAGGATCCGAAACATTGAGTTTGAGCAAATGAAGCGGACGTTGTTCTCTAGTTTGTGATGAAAAAAGTGCCACTTGCAGTTCTGAGGGCACATCCTGAAGAACAGTTGTTTTATAATGAGAATGAGACGGGGTAAAAAAATAATAGCTCATGCTTTACAGGATCATTGGCAATTGGCAATTTGTATGGCCCAATATTATCACAAAGAGGTGTAGGAGTATCACATGGAATACCAAAATCAACTTACAACCACCGAAGTCATATAAGATCTGAAGTGATAGTGACAAGTGCTCAAAGTTCTGCCTGTGTGAGTGGGATACGACACGACCTGCTTCTTGGACTTCCATGTAAGAGGAGAAGGACAAGGAAAAATGCAACAACCAGTGAAAAACGTTGATCTGTTGGATTACACGCCCAAGTAAAGTCTGAGTAAGCATAAAGCTAACCGGACTATCACGGGCATAAAACAAATTGGCCCTCAAATACCGTAACACACAAAGCAAATGTCGAAGAGCACTCACAACATGATCCAATATATGAACATGAGCAATGTCAGCATGACAATAGTAAGATACACCAGATTGCTCCCAATATGCCGGTATCGAGTGAGATCCTCAAGAGGCGCACCATTAGTGGGACGGAGGTGGAAGTGAAGATCAATAGGTGTAGCTGTTGTGCGACACGAACAAGATCTTATATGTATATGGACTAGGAAAGATAATACCCCGAGTAGGGGCGGCCGAAAAAAACCGAATTTTCCCGTATCGAATCGGACCGAAATGGTCCCGTTCCGAAAAATAAGGTTCCGAAAGGTTTTCTTTATATTTGTCCCATTCCCAGTACCGAACCGTTTTAAACAATGTCAGTCTCAGTTTTGAATATTTTTGTCCCGAACCGTCCTGTTCGTCCCGTTTTATTTTTTCCTACAAAATATTATATATATATTATATGCATTCTTAATATATTTTATATAGTATTATAGTACAATTACATAATTAACAATAAGTCATTTTGATATTCAAGCTTCAATAGCATTCTAACTTTGTAATATAAAAAACAAAAGTTCAATTGTCCAAACCAAAACTAAACAATCCGGCCCAAAAAATAAAAATAAAAAAATAAATTAAACAGTGCATTTTATAATTTGGTTTTAAGGACAATGTTTATGTTAGATCTTAGATGTTGGTGAATGGTGAGTTAAACTTAATGGATCGGTATGTTTGTTATAACGGAATCAATACTTTTGGTAATTTGGTTTAAATGAATACTTGAATCGAGGTGTTTGTTTTAATTGAAAATATGGAGTCAACGTGTTGGTTTTTGTTTTAAATTTTAATAGAATCAATACTCTTTGGTTTAGTTTATATGTTTGTCCTAGTCTCGAACCGTCCTTTCCGGTTCCGAATGATATCGATCCGTTTGGGATGATGTCTCGTCCCGGACCGATTCCTAAAAGCGGGTCGGGTACGGGGACAAGTCAAATCCCAGACAGTCTCGGACCACGCCCACCCCTATGTGTCAAAGTGAGTCGTCTCAATGCGAAAAAAGTAGCTAAGGGGACCCAAATTGTACATTTGAAATTGTTAAACAAGTTGTTTCTTAACATGAGAAATATGTTCTGCATCATGACATCATCTCCCTTAGTCAACATAGCATCAACATATAAAATATCCACGTGGAGAAAATGAATAAACATGGCAGGATCATGGCCACTAGGTAAAAAATCGACAATCCGTTACCAAAGATAAAGCGCTCAAACCAAGCACGTGAAGCCTGTTTGAGATCATATAGGGCGCGGCGAAAACGACGAACATGTTCAGAAGGGCATCCAACACCCAGTGGTGGCTGCAAATAAACTTTCTCATGCAGATCACAATGAAAAAAGCAATCTTCACATTCATTTGAGATATGGTCCAAGAATGAGTAGCAACCATCGTAATCGGAGTACGGATCTGTAAGCAACAAGAGCTAAGGTCTCATAATAATCCTGTCCTGAGTCTGCTGAAAACCTCTGGCAACATGATGAGCTTTATATCTCTTAATGGAACCATCTGACCTCGTCTTAATCTCAAAGACCCCATTTACACGTGATAGGATATGCAACAATAACGGAATAGAATCCCAAGTGCCACTACGATTAAGCGCAACAAGCTTCTCAAACATAACAAGTTACCACTCCGGAATTTGTGAAGCTTCTTGATAAGTGTATGACTCATCAACACAACAATAGCACTCGACGTGGAAAACTCATCCTGTTAAGAGCCTCCTAGGTAGCACGATCACGTGAATTATATCAATTAGCACGATCACGTAAATTATATCGATTCTACAAGAAATAGGAATAACATGTGACACATCAGGACCATCAAACACGGGAGAGTATCTGGCGATGACTTGCCGAGAAAGGAGAGTGAGGCAAAAGCATTGTGAGGCCTATTCGACGACGAGTATAGACTTGTGTGATAGGTGGTTTACATTAGGGAGGCTCGCTAGAAATAGGTGGTGACTCTTCATGAGAGGTTGGCACTAAAGGAGATGGGAAGAGGCACGAACATCATCACGAAAGGAAATAGGAGGAAGACATAAGGATATAAACTGTATAAAAGAAGATGTGGGGTGTGCAGAAGGGTTATAAAAAAAAGACGATTTTCGACAAATGTTACATCACGAGATATACGCATGTGACGAGCAGAAGAATCATAAGCAATAACCTGCTCAAGACTATACTAAAAAATACGCAGTCAGTTTGGTGAGCTCACGAGGAATAAGAAACACATATTATATGTATCCGAACACCTAATGATCATAGCTAGGGGGAAGTACCAAAGTACCTCACCAAGACACTTACTAGTCAAGCTTGTATGACGACTGTCGTAAATAGTTGTAGATATAACTTCTCCCCAAAAATGAGAAGGAACAACAGAGGCAATGCGAAGGGTTTGAGCGGTCAACTCAATGAGATTGCGGTGTTTTTTGTTTGTTCGTTTTTTTTTTTCCGCAACACCATTCAGAACACGTGTACCGAGAGTTGGGCAAAGTACCCTCAAAGGTCAAAGACAAAACTTGTCAAATAAATACTAAATAAATACTTACTGCTAGAATCAACACGAAAAACATGAATAGGATCCATGCAAGCAGAATCCTCACAAATGGAACATAGATGAGAACGGCGTTTCATAGAATAAATCCAAGTACATCGGGTATGACCATCAGTAAGAACATAATATTATATCAACCTTTTGTAGGAAACATGGATGCACCCAATACATAAGTGAATAATATCAAAAGATCTAGCATAATGAGAAGTACCATATATTGTAGCAGCTGTCTTCGGAGCTTGCAACCCTTACAAAGAATAGATTTAATAGATGTATGACCTCAACCATTTCTAACGAAAGTAGACAAGCGAAACCCACTCAAATGACCAAGACAATGATGCCACTTGGTAAGTGTCTAATATTCGAGACTCGAAGAACCTCTACGACGATGGCCAGCCTCAATCACGGTCCTGCTTCGACTCCTGAATATAACAAGATGAGTCTTCAAATCCAACAATACAGACCTGACCAACTTAAAGAAGATTCATTGGTAACTTATGAACATAAAAGATATTAGGTACTGAAAAATATGTATTGCATAGAAAACCCTCATGAGTGATATGACAAGATGTGCCATCAACTGTCTAGATAGAAGTACCTTCAATGGCGGACTTGCAGCTTGTAGGCAATCACTAATCAGACATCGCATGAAACGATACCCTTGAATCAAGAACCGAAGACTGAGAAACATTACATGAGATGGAGATATACAAACACTTTTGTAGCAGGAGTCGCACCACGAGTCCGAGCAGCACGACGTGCACGATACTCTGCCAATTATTCTCGATGCTAAGAAAAACAATTTTCGGCACTATGACCTATCTTCCTGCAATGTTGACGAGAGTCTGAAGAGCCACCTCTAGGTGCACTAAGACGTTGAGAGGATGTCCGATGAGAAGCTGCCAAGTCACTATGAGATACTAACGGAAGAGCAAGTGTCAGAAAACGGAGACGAGTCTTCTCAGCAATGCTTTAGCCATGGTTACAGTAGAAGAATTATGAAGCAACCATGTATGAATGGACTCGAATTCTGCTCTAATTCCCATGACAAAGCGACATATAAAAATTATCTCAAGAAATTATGTGTTAGAACATTCCTCTTCCATGCACAGAGGTACCATGGATATCATGGAGATCATGGCCTCATCAAACGATCAAGGCCAAGTAGTACTCACGAATTTGGTATAAGTTTGTGCAAGAGTGCACCACTATCCTTAACATGGCGTTGTTGCACATAGGACCACATCGCCTTAACTTCTCGAAAAGAGGAAATGCTCATAATAATGGACTGCTTGACACTATTGATGATGACGACCATCACTTGCCGTCATTAATTTGCCATGTCCTAATGTTAGCCGCATTACTATTATCAGCCTTTCGTTCGGGTCCATCATCGATTAAGTGGAAAGCTAAACCATAACCCCTCAATATTTTTTCCACATAAAAACCCCACTCCCTATAATTCTGGCCATCAAGAGTGATTCATAATAAGCGCATTGAGTTGCGACATGATTTGACGATGCATGACAAATTACC